CCCCCCAAAAACAATGAACAAATCAAACAAACAAATAGCAATATTCAAAGAAGCCAAGCTCAAGGAACCTAACAAACCCGGTTCCCGAAGCTCAACTTCACATCCCTACGCTCAGCTACCCTAAACCCCAAACCCCAACCCCAAACGCAAACCCCAAACCCCAAACCCCAAACTCCAAAGCCCTTAACCCTAAACCCTAAACCCTAAACCCTAAACCCTAAACCCTAAACCCTAAACCCTAAACCCTAAACCCTAAACCCTAAACTGCCGAGAGCGCCGCTGTCCATTTGCATGGGCGCTCGAGGCTTCGACCGAGGTCCCCGACCGAGCGTCTCTACAGAACGGTGAGGGAGGGTAAAGCCTCCCGGTAGACGAGGCCTGCAGTGCTTGGCTACGCCTCAGACCTAGGGCGTAAGCCCTAATATAATTAGGACCCCGCATCGTTGAGGGTGTTTGGGCTTTTTTGGGGGGGTCGGGGGGGTAACCCCCCCGAAAAGTCTGGGGCCCTGGGCTGGCAGATTCCAGGGACCCCCCCTCCTTCTGGGCTGGTGTAGGGGGCAACCTGCAAAAAAACGCTTTTTTGGTGCAGAAAGATTGAAATTGAACCTGGGGACCCCCCTGGGACCCCCCTGGCCCCCTGGGACCCCCCTTCCCGGGGCCCCCCTGAAACCTTCTAGGATGTCTGGGACGTATTTTCCCAACCATCGTCCTGGCATGCCTGGGACGCCCTGGGACCCTCCGAGGACCTTCCTGGGAACCCCTAAACTGACCTTCCTCGCGCCTGGGAGACTTCTTGGGACCCCCCTGCGACCGCCTTTCTGGACCCGCCTCAGCCTGGGTCTGATTTCGGTAGAGATCTGGTGGGACCTCCCTTCGCTGGGACGCGTAAGCAGGGGCCGGCCAAGGCCCCTGCTTCCCCCTAGCGTTTTGGGCTGTGTGGGTCGGGGTCCCGCACTGAACATTTGACGGTTTTGGGCACCCCTCCAGTTCCGTGAAAGCTCCAAGAAACCTACGAGCCGCTGACAGGCTCCACAAAGCTCGGGAGGCCCCACCCTGCTCTTTCTCTGTCAAAAGCAAGAAAGCCCCCCTTGAGGGGGGTTTGGGGGGTGAACCCTAAACCCTATTGAGAATAGTTTGGGTGGTTGAGGTGGGACTACATGCTAACGCAAGCGAGCGGCCCGGGTGCTTTTAGCACCAGCGAGCTTCCCTTCATTTCCCTTCTATAAACCCTAAACCCTAAACCCTAAACCCTAAACCCTAAACCCTAAACCCTAAACCCTAAACCCTAAACCCTAAACCCTAAACCCTAAACCCTAAACCCTAAACCTCTCTTACCTATATATATTTAAACCCTATAGTCGGAAAATCGACCGGCCCTGTTGGGCACTCAAGGGTCTGGCCTTGTCCTGGCCCTCGCGCGCGCGGGCCTTGGCTTTTTCAAGGTTTTTCAAGGTTTCTCAGAGTTTTTCAGTGTTTTTCAAGGTTTTTCAATGTTTTTCAAGGTTTTTCAGGGTTTTAACCCTCAATTCTGATGAAGGGCCGCCCCCGCGACCTTTTCACAGCGTAATTTTGGTCAAGGGGGGGTCGTATTTTTCAATTTTAAAGGCAAAATAGTCTTCTGAGACCCCCCCTTGCCTCAAACTCCGACCCCCCCTTGAGAGGGAAAGTTTGCCTCCAAAAACACCCCAAATGAGGGGGATCCCAGGATCGGCCCGGGTCCCAGGTAAAAATGCGATTTTTTAGTACTGAAATCGACGCCTCTGGGTGGCCTCTCGTTTTCTGGATTTTTGACCAAAACCGAGCCTTCACCGGCTTCAGGAATTCAAGTTTTTCACGGTTTGTCAAGGTTTCTCAGAGTTTTTCAATGTTTTTCAAAGTTTTTCAATGTTTTTCAGGGTTTTTCAGGGTTTTAACCCTCAATCCTGATGAAGGGCCGCCCCCGCGACCTTTTCACAGCGTAATTTTGGTCAAGGGGGGGTCGTATTTTTCAATTTTAAAGGCAAAATAGTCTTCTGAGACCCCCCCTTGCCTCAAACTCCGACCCCCCTTGAGAGGGAAAGTTTGCCTCCAAAAACACCCCAAATGAGGGGGACCCCAGGATCGGCCCGGGTCCAGGTAAAAATGCGATTTTTTTAGTACTGAAATCGACGGCTCTGGGTGGTCTCTCGTTTTCTGGATTTTTGACCAAAACCGAGCCTTCACCGGCTTCAGGATTTCGAAGTCCCGCCCTTTTATGGGGGCCGATGAAATGGTTCGTGGGTAGGAGGACAGGGCTTGCTGATGAGAAATGTAAACTTTTTATTTTCTTAATGTTTTGGGATTCTCTGGGTGGGTGGGTTTTTTGCCGTTGCCTACACACACTGCTGGCCTAGTAAATGCTCGAACATGAGATGCTGAACCCTAACCCTAAACCCTAAAACCCCTAACCCTAAAACCCTAACCCTGTTCGCGGGCCTAACCCTAAACCTAAACCTAAACCCTAAACCCTAAACCCTAAACCCTAACCCAAACCCTAAACCCTAAACCTAACCCTAACCCTAAACCCTAACCCTAAAACCCCTAAAACCCGAAACCCTAAACCCTAAACCCTACACCCTAAACCCTAACCCTAAACCCCTAAACCTAAACCTAAACCCTAACACCCTAAACCCAAAAACCCTAAACCCTAAACCCGAAACCCCTAAACCCTAACCTAAACCCTAAACCCACAACCTAAACCCTAAACCCTAAAACCCTAAAACCCTAAACCTAAACCCCTAAACCCTAACCCTAACCCTAAACCCCTAAACCTAAACCCTACCCTAAACCCTCAACCCTAAAACCCCTAACCCTAAACCCTAAACCCTAAACCCTAAACCCTAAACCCTAAACCCTAAACCCTAAACCCAAAACCCTAAACCCTAAACCCTAACCCCTAAACCTAAACCCTAAACCCTAAACCCTAAACCCTAAACCCTAAACCCTAAACCCTAACATTTTTTTTGATTTTCAAATTAGATATCCCATTGAAAACCTCAAAAGAATTTGAATATATCCAAATATATTCTGAGGTATCCAAAGATTCATCAGAAATTCTTAAAAAAAACCCCAAAATCATTCTCCCATCCCGTCGTATCATCTGTTCCCCCCCCCCCACGCCGACCCTAAAACCTAAACTCTAAAAACGAAACTTTCGCTCAAAACTTTCGCTCAAAACTTTCGCTCAAAACTTTCGCTCAAAACTTATTGGGACCCAAACCCTATACAATTTCTATAAACCCTAAACCCTAAACCCTAAACCCTAAACCCTAAACCCTAAACCCTAAACCCTAAACCCCTAAACCATAAACCCTAAACCCTAAACCCTAAACCCTAAACCCTAAACCCTAAACCCTAAACCCTAAACCCTAAACCCTAACCCCTAAACCCTAACCCCTAACCCAAACCCTAAACCCTAAACCCTAAACCCTAAAAACCCTAAACCCTCACCTAAACCCTAAACCCTAACCCTAACCCTAAAACCTAAACCCTAACCCTAACCCTAAACCCTAAAAACCCTAAACCCTAACCCTAAACCCTAAACCTAACCCTAAACCCTAACCCTAACCCTAAACCCTAAACCCTAACCCGAAACCTAAACCCTAAACCTAAACCTAAACCCTACACCCTAAAACCCTAAACCCTAAAACCCTACAACCCTAAAAAACCCTAAACCCTAAACAAACCCTAAACCCTAAACCTAAACCTAAACCCTAACCCTAAACCCTAAACCCTAAACCCTAAACCCTAAACCCTAAACCCTAAACCCTAAACCCTAAACCCTAAACCCTAAACCCTAAACCCTAAACCCTAAACCCTCAAGGACAGGATAAATAGAAATTGTATGTGTTGCATAACGAATCGCTCGCAAATAGTCTGTACCATCACCTGGAAGTGAACTGACGCCCTTTCCACTGGGCAAATTTTTGCGCACTCAACATACTTGACTGGCACACAAAGAGGTTTAAGTAAATTCAACGTATTTGCAAAATTGCCCTTGGAAATCCCTATTCTGGTTCATTTTTTCTAGAAAGCAACAACAACCATGGCTGGGATGGCTCGGAATCACCACAAGCCCAGTCCAGACCCTCAAACAGCAACTAGAGCAGCCTTATCACTGAGCATTTTCTAGAGAGCAATTGCCGGAGACATGTGCCAGCTGGTGGCTGGGAATCACCACAAGCCCAGCCCAGACCCTCAAGCAGCAACTAGAGCAGCCTTATCACTGAGCATTTTTGAGAGAGCAACAACCATGGCTGGCAACATGTCCCCGCTGCTGGCTAGGAGTCCCCACAAGCCCAGTCCAGACCCTCAAACAGCAATTAGAGCAGCCTTATCACTGAGCATTTTCTACAGAGAGCAACAATCATTGCTGGAGACATGTGCCGGCTGATGCCTAGGAATCACCACAAGCCCAGTCCAGACCCTCAAACAGCAACTAGAGCAACCTTATCACTTTCCTTTACTTTGGAGAAACGCCCAAACAACCTAAAAAAACTGCCCGAACCAACAAAAGCCCTCCCGCCCCCTCCTGCCCCCCACCCCCCCACCCCCCCACCCCGCCCACCCCCCCCACCCCCCACCCCCCCCCACCCCCCCCACCACCCCCCCACCCCCTCACCCGTTTTGCCCGAACTTGTTGGTTCGACTTAAATGAGGGTTACAAGACCCCGGGAGCCCAGTTGGTTCGACTTAAAATGAGGGCACCCCCCCCCCCCTCCCCCCCCCTCCCGCCCGCCTGCCACCCCCCCCCCCCCCCCTACCCCCCTCCCCTTCCCCCCACCCCCCCCGCCCCCCTCCACCACCCCCCCTCCCCCCCCCCCCCTCCCCCCCCCCCCCCCCCCCCCCCTCCCCCCCCCCGTCCCCCCCCCCTCACCCGTTTTGCCCGAAATTGTTGGTTCGACTTAAATGAGGGTTACAAGACCCCACCGCGCACCCTTCCAGGGTCCCCCCCCCCACCCCTGCATGTTCGATCTATCGTGATGAAGCAGGAGCGAGAGCCGCAGAACCAACACACAGCCGGGAGCCCAGTTGGTTCGACTTAAAATGAGGGGCACCCCCCCCCCCCCCCTCCCGCCCGCCTGCCACCCCCCTCCCGCCCCCCCTAGCCCCCCTCCCCCTCCCCCCCCCCCGATCCCCAACCTCCACCCACCCCCCTTCCCCGCCGTTTTTCCCGAATTTGTTGGTTCCAGCCCCGCTGCCCCCCCCCTCCCCCCCCACTCACCCCCCCTCCCCCGCCTCTTCACGAATTATGTGGGGTTCCCACCACGCCCCACCACCCCCCCCTTCTCCCCCTCCCCACCCTTCCGGGGCCCCACCGCTGGCCTTTTTGCCTGTCCAAAATGGTTGGTTCGACTTAAAGAGGGTTGCATGTTCGATCTATCGTGATGAATCCAGGAGCCAGAAGATCCATTTGACTTGTCGCAGAATTAACACACAGCCGGGAGCCCAGTTCGACTTGTATTGAACACGCGCAAGACCCACTGCCACGCACAGAGAACTCAGTTCGACTCATTATGAGGCCTGAAAGGAGCAAGGAACCCAGCGTGACTTATTCCGAAGCTCTGTTCAACCACTTTGCCCCCCACCCCTAGCTGCACCTCCTTCCCGGACCTCCTTAACAACCGTTTCTCTGCGGGAAATGCAGTTCGATTTCTAATGAAAGAAGACACACCCTATTCTAATTACGTAAAATGACTATATACTTTCAAGAGACACAGCCTCGTTCGACTTGTTACGAAGGTTCCCAGAACCAGAACGCCAGAAGATCAGTTTGAATTGTTGCACAATTAACAAACAGCCGGGAGCCCAGTTCGACTTATATTGAACACGCGCAAAACCCACTGGTCACTCTGAGAGTTGCTAGACAAGTCTTCTGCACGTTGCCACGCACAGAGAACTCAGTTCGACTCATTATGAGGCCTGAAAGGAGCCAGGAACCCAGTGTGACTTATTCCGAAGCTCTGAGGATTGCTGGAACGTTCGACTCTTTATGCAGGTTGCCAGGAACCAGGAAAACCCACCCAAATAATTCAACTGCTTTGCCCCCCCGCCCCTAGCTGCACCCTTTTCCCGGACCCCATTATCAACCATTTTTCTGCGGGAAATGTAGTTCGACTTCTAATGAAAGAAGACTACTGGCCTTTGTCCTCAGGTCGACTGGTGCGACGGCCATGTCCTAATCTAGCCGACACCCTTGCTTCTCAGGTCGACTGGTGCCACGATGTCCGAAGACATGGACGAGGACTTCCAGGGCACAGACCGCCCCATTCGCGGTTTTGAACAGGCGGACGGTGAGGACGGGTTCGACGATAGGGACTGGGTTGAAAAAGAACTGCACGAAGCTGAGGAAGCTGCGCGTGAGAGAGAAGAAAGTCGCACATTCTTGCAAGCAAGGCATTCGCAGCAGTCTTGGCTCAGATAGAACACAAGCCGCACTTTCTGCCAGTGATCGAAACCTGCAAGATGGATGGTTGCCGTCTTGAATGGAGCCGGTGTTTGGATGGCGGTCCTGGCGCCTGGTCGCTGATTGGCTTGAGTGGCGCTGCGCTTGCCACAGAGACAGCCCCTGGATGGTATATGCCTGCCTTTTGCGTCAGAGGCATGAATAGGCTGGAATGCCGATTTACCCAATGGCATCCAGAAGCACCTCATGTTGCTGTCTTCGAAGCGGAAGAACTGCACTTTGACAATTGGATCAATCTTCCAGCAGGGAAGGTCTATGTCCGAGAAGTGCCCTCGCCTTTGGTTATTACTTGCAGTTTGATGCCCGTGGATCAAAATACCGTCGACGTCGTGTTCACCACGGTGGCCGGTGAGGAGGTGCTGCGAATCGCCAGCGTGTCAAGCCATTCGCTGGAGATGGAACTGATGGAACAGCTTCCTACATCCGCTACCATAGCAGCGGCAGCCCAAGGCCGTCTGCAGAGCAGGAACCAAGAAGTGTGCACGGTCTTAGATGGGGAGCCAACCCCATTGGACACATTGGTCCTCTCCGATGACTTGTGGGACATCGTCACAGCGCAGGACACCCAGCAGCCATGAAGACATACCATGTGCTGCGTGGCACCTGGCGTGAACTAGTAAGTTCGTCTCCGCTCTGTACATCTCTTTTGAGAGCAAACCAAGTCACCACAGATGCGCCTGTTACACAGGAGCAAGAAAAGTAAAGTGGACTGGCAAGGAAAGACAGACAAGCTGTTGCACGTGCTAGAGAACGCCTTCTGACATGCGCTGTATTTCACAGTCTCCGGTGCACAAACCCATCGCAGCTTTTCCGACACAGCCTGAGTTGCAGATAGAACTGAACATTTGCCATGGCGCCTTGCCAGCGATGCGGTGTGGGAAACAGGAGCGGTCGGGGACCGGGGTGGTGCAGCGATCCACGCTGCCGCCAAGCCGAGAAAGAAGAGCGTCAGGCAGAAGAAAGCGCTAAGCGAAAAGCTCGGCAACAGGAACGGGTGGCAAAGGGAGGTGGCAGCCGCGGGCCTTTGCCCCCTCAAGGGGTCAGCCGACAAGCGCAGAGGCTTCAGCTGCAAGCCGAACGTGCTGAGCATGGGTTTGCAAGCCGGGGGCCAAAACCAGAGGCGGACAACCGCGAAGCACAGAGGCTTCAGCTGCAAGCCGAACGTGCTGAGTGCGGGTTTGCAAGCCGGGGGCCAAAACCAGAGGCGGACAACCGCGAAGCACAGAGGCTTCAGCTGCAAGCCGAACGTGCTGAGTGCGGGTTTGCAAGCCGGGGGCCAAAACCAGAGGAGGACAACCGCGAAGCGCAGAGGCTTCAGCTGCAAGCCGAACGTGCTGAGCACGGGTTTGCAAGCCGGGGGCCAAAACCAGAAGCTGACAACCGCGAAGCACAGAGGCTTCAGCTGCAAGCCGAACGTGCTGAGCACGGGTTTGCAAGCCGGGGGCCAAAACCAGAGGAGGACAACCGCGAAGCACAGAGGCTTCAGCTGCAAGCCGAACGTGCTGAGCACGGGTTTGCAAGCCGGGGGCCAAAGCCAGAGGAGGACAACCGCCAAGCACAGAGACTTCAGCTGCAAGCCGAACGCGCTGAGTCAGGGGTCGGAAGCCGTGGTCCGAAGCCCACTGCAACTGAGATCCAGAAGCAGGGGTACCCGTTTCCTGATGAAGATGAGCTGACGCCTGAACAAGTGGATGCTCACTACCTTGCATTCGTGCGTAGTTGGGGCAGATTCGGGCTGTCGCGTGTTTGCGAGAAGTGTCGGACCCTTACCCCTGCGAAGCACGTCTGCCCGGCCAAAGGGACCAAGCAGATGCTTTGCAAAAGGTGCCGTGAAGATTCTACGAAGATCATCCTACCAGATGTGCCAACTGCGCCAGAGGCACTCCAGATACTGAGGCCCATCGAGCAGCACCTGATCGCCATGGCCCGGATCTCGCAAGTCCTCATCGACAAACTCCCGTCAGGTGGTCCCAGCGCACAGTGGGGCCGCATGTACGCCGTACTCATGGAGGACCCTTTCATTTGTGACGTATTGGAGGGAGCCATTCTGGAGGAAGATGGCACAGTCTTGGTCCAAGGTGTTCAAGGCTTGACTGCTTCTCCAGCCCGTCTGGATTGCTTGCACGAAGCTTTGAAGGAACTGAAGGCCCAACACTGCTTGTACAAAGCCAATCCAGCCGTGGACAGAGCCATAGCCAAAATGGCCACCATCCTGGATGTCCAGCCTCATGCGCTCGACGAGCGTTTGAGTCAGCAAATAGCTTCCCAAGGGCGCCAAACGGGGGAGTCCGGTGGCTCACACTCCTCGGCCTTGGGAAGCCAAAGTCACGGTGTCCTGCAAGAGAAGGAAGAAGATCTCGAGATGATGTACCTTTTGCCCAAAGAGTTGAAGATCCCTGGAGCCGAGACAAGGCAGCTACAAAAGGCCCGAGGTTGCGCGGCGCTCACCGACGACATGGATGTCAAGCTCTTCCCGCACTTGTTTCCCACGGGAACGGGCGGATGGCAAAGCATGTACCCAAGCTTCTCACAGTATGCGCGCAAGCGCTTGCTGAGCCAGGATCCACGCTTCGAGGCATCCCCAGCCTACACCATGTGGCTCCTGGAGATGCAAACCAAGAAGCGCCTTTCAGGCAACATCAATGTGCGGATCAGCGGCCAGCAGGCTCCAAGCAGAAAGACGATGTACGAACGTGGCAACAACCAGGTCTACACAGCCCTCAGGGACATCCCCGGTACTCAGCCCTACATCTACGCAAAGAAGGGCGTCGCGCTCAGCATGTACGAGCAGCTGGGAACACCCAACTTCTTCATGACCCTCACTTGCCATGCTCGGCAGCCCGACATCCTTGTTGCGGCCATCACAGCGCGGCTACTGCGGCTGCGTCCGGAAATGCCTCCGCAAGAGCTGGAGCGTCAAGCCGCTGGAATCCTGCGCTGCTATCAGTCTGACGAGCAATTCAAGTGGGACGATCTGTCGCCAAACCAGCTGTGCAACCAACAGCCAGCGATCGTGGCACGACAGTTCATGCACCAGCTCAACCAACTCATGGCATGGCTGGAGGCCGAGCATGACACAGAGTCCCATCTGGAGCAGGAGGCAGACGAGCAGGACGAGCCGGAGGGCGGCAACCGCAAAGAGCCTGAAGACTTTGCACAAGCGCCAGCAAGAGATTCAGCGGGCCGACACCGCAGCGTTCGCAAGGAGCGCCCACCATTCAAGATTCGAGACTACATCATCCGCATCGAGTGGCAGAAGAGGGGCTACCCTCACGCTCACATTCTGCTTTGGGCAGCGGAATGGCCACGACGAACAAGCACAGTCAGCTCCAGAGATGCTGAGAAGACACCGGAAACAGAAGCGACAGTTCCGGATTGGTCGGATGAAGAGGCCATGGAGTCTTTCACGCCCACTTGCGCAGAAGACTGGAGCGACAAGTACATCTGCACAAAGTCACCAGAAAGCTGGCGCAAATCCACGAAAGTCTCACCCCGCAACAAGGCGCTAAATGCCCAGTTGGCGGAGCTAGTGCGGCACAAGCACAGCGAATATTGCGGCATCAAGACGTATGGCTCTTGCAGGTTTGGGTTTCCACACAATGAATTTGAAGAGCGAACTCGACGCCGCACCTCCCAGGAGAAGTACGCCAACAGCCGCTGGAAAAGCAGCCTCGTGGTCAGGCGGGCCCAGGGGGACAACATGTTCGGGCAATACAACATCAAGATCCTGCGACGGTGGCGTGCCAGCATGGACCTCCAAGTAATCTGCGAACTGACCAGCGCCAGTCGCTACATCCTGGGCTACTCCTTTAAGTCGGAAGAAGATCTCGCGGCCCGGCGGCGCATGGAGAGTATACTGACCAGCCTCGCCGCCAGCCGCAATGACCATGGTGGCACCAGCTTGAGCAGCCAGCAGGTGTACAAAGCCGCACACGCAGCGCTGCAGGGCCGGACCACATCCACCTTCGAGGCCTGCCACTTGCTGCTAGGCTTTCCCATCGTTGAGTTCTCCAGGGAGCACGTTTGGGTTCAAGTCGGACCAGCCGATACCTGGACGTTGTCCGTGCCCCAGCACGAAGAGAGCCTGGCGCTACAACAGCCGGAGAGCTACCGCAACAGCAAGCTCGACAGGGATGGACACATGCCGGCTGCACAGCGCTGGTACAGGGAGATGCAAGTCGCTTTCGGCAACATCGAAGTGGAGTTGCCTGTGGAAGGGGGCAAGCCTGCAACATGCCGCCTCATGAACATGAACTTCTTGGATTTCTGCGCCGCTTTCAAGTTCATCGGCGTGGAATTCCCTCAGCTCAGAAAGCGTCCGGCCATCGTCGGATACCGGAATTTCAGCCCTGACCAGGAACCGGAGAGTTTCTGGTTCTCTCGGCTGCTGCTCTACTCCGTTTGGACAGAACCAGGCGACTGGCTGCAAGAAGAGGACAAAGGTAGCCATGCAGCAGCGTTCCAGCGCATCGCCCGCGACTTGGATGGGTACCCAGATTTCCTGCGGTCGAAATGCTTCCCACAAATGGACGGGACAGTGAACGCCGCTCGCAAGCTGCAGGCCGTCCAGGCCGTCATGTACATGAAGGCGAGGATGCACCCTGCGCACTTGCGAGATGGGTGGGCCAACAGCAAGATCGCGCAGGACAACTACGAGGACTCCATCCAGATTTTAGAGGCACTGAAGGCACGTCACGGGGACGACATCGAATTTGCGGCTCCAGACCATGTTCCGACAGGAGCACCTGGAGATGCCTTTGCGCCGGTGGAAGGTGGCGAGGAATCCTTCAACATGCTCACTGCTGCGGAGAACCCAAGCCCAGAAACACAGCATCAACGAAGAGCCATGGAATACATCTTCGAGACGGTGTGGGCCCGCCGCAACACCAATGACACCAACAATACTGACCGCCTCCACATGCTCCTCCACGGACCGGGCGGCTGTGGGAAGTCCGTGGTGGTGCGCGCAGCAGCCCACATGCTTCGGGAGGCGGGAGTGGGAACCATCATTGCTGCGCCCACAGGGGTGGCAGCATGGAACATCAACGGCGTCACTCTCCACACTTGCTGCTTGCTTCCCGTCGTGAACCAGAGCTACGGAAGGGCCTGCGACGTGCCGCTACCAAATGGTCCCATACTGGCCACGCTGCGAAGCATCTGGAAGCTGGTGGCGGCCCTCTTCGTGGACGAGATGGGCTTCATATCGTCCTTTATGTTGGAGCGCCTGGATCAGCATCTGCGGTTGGCTAAGAACATGCCGCACGTTCCCTTCGGAGGAGTGCATGTCGTGTTCTCTGGAGACCTCTATCAGCTGCCACCGCCGGGCGGGCTGCCGGCCTTTGCCAGCTCACTGTGGACACTGCTTCAGCTTTGCGAGCTAGAAGGCAATCAACGTGCAGCAAAGGACCCGAAGTGGGCAGCTTTTCTCGCACGAGTTCGTGTCGGCACGTGGACGGAAGAGGACATTCAGGAGCTGCAAGGCATGGTTCTGAACAAGAACGACAGCAGGCAGCCTTCTCCAAAGGCCGTGTGTCTGTACCCGACGCGCAAAGCCGTGGCGGAGAAGAATCGCCGCTAC